TACAATTTAGTTTCTTTTCTTCCTTTCACAGATCCAATAGGAGTTCCTCAGTTTGTCCTGTAAATGGATTCCCCGAGAAATCTAGCAAGAAAGGCATTTCTGGAAGTGCCGGGAGACCTGCAAGTGCTTCAACAAGCGAACTACCCTGTAAGTTGGATTTTAAAATGCTTCTGGTTTGTTATTGTCTATTTCACTGTGTCAGGGAAACAGGTTATGGAATCTTTAAGTTTCATTTATTGCAGCAGTTGCCAATGATAGCGTTCAAGATGAAGAAACTTCGCAGTCACCCGTTTCTTGGTTGTCAGCGGGTGGTAGTGACCCTTTATACGGTATCGGTGCGGGTTCAATCGGCTCGTCTAGCGGACTTACACAGCTAAAAGAAGCTTGTACGTCTGGTATGCTTGCTTGTCCTGTGGCTGGTTGTGGCTATCGGTTTGACACTCAGGCTCAAATGACTTTGCATCGTAGAAGCCATTTTGATCGTTCTGGACAGCGCGCAGTACGTAAACAGCTCAGTATTGCTTTTAGAACATAAAGGGATTTACCACTATTTTTGCTGTTTTCTGGTTGTTTTTTTTGGATTTGGAACTCTTCATGTGGGGAAGCGTCTGTATTTTGTTGCACTTATGCGTGAGCGCCTCAAATGTTTAGTTCACGAGGAAAATAATTATGATTTTCAAAACGTTTTTTTGTTCACAGTTCGAAGAAGTTTAGATCTATTTCGAGAGTGTTGCAACGCAAACGTTAGAAACGGACTTTGACTTTCTGGCTGATAAGGACGAAGAAGCTGAAATGAGGGAGAAAGAAGTGAAAGCAGAAATACTAGACGTTCCTGTAGATGCTCCTCCTGATTTGATGCCAGCATCTCAGCCGCCAAATAAGCCGCTTATGTCCCAGATCAATATTGGTACGACTGATGAGAAAGCTGTTGTGTCGGGAGTTTCTGGTGAGAATCTGTCGACAAGTCTTACGAGCTCAGAACAACAAAGCATTAAGAAAATGTTTGAGGTAATGCATTTTTTGCATGCAATTGTATTTTCCTTCTTTTAATATTTGGACGACGCCAGTGATGATTGTGTCATGCTAATCATGAAAGGCGCATCGGCGTGTCTATAACCATGTTGTAGAAAGTTGCAATCTGAGGCTGACTTTAAAGTGACTTAGTATTCGGTCTTAGTGACACTTTCACCTGTAACCGTATTGGTTATTTCACTTTTGCATGATGTTTCAAATCGAAAACTTTTTTCAATTTAAGGTTGTTGGAAGGCCGATGGAGACCGGCGGAATAGTTACTAGTCCAGTAACTAAGAAGAATATTCGTTCAGTGACGGAGACAAAACCGACAACGAAAGGTTGCTTAAAATTCTATTTTTTTAATGTTAAGAAAGTTTCGACAGTTCTTTCGTACAAGTTGTGTTCATTTGTGTTTATAGACCCTCAATCACGTAAAGACTCATTTTTTTATTTGCGTTCGTATATTTATTGTTTTGATCCAACTAGAAGGGCCTTTGTTTTTTTTACCTGTTTTTTTATGGAACATCTACATTAATTTTTCAGGCTTTGAAGCTTCTGTAACGTCAGTTGACCAGAGTTGCCCATCTTCGAGTGCTTTAGATGCTATACAGAAAATGGTTTCTGATAGCGCACAGTCTGCAAGTGTTTCTTCAGCAGTTTCAGCTAGTTTTTGTACCACTCGACAAGAAACCGTTAATCGACAAGCCCAGTTGTCTGTGGCTGGAAACTCAAACAAAGGGTATAGTTGTCTTTATATGATTACTTGTTGCTCACAGCTTGCTAATGTCTTGCTATGCTTCGCTAGCCGTCCGCTTGTAGGTCTGTTATAGACTGGGTCCCCCTTTTGTTAGGCTTTATAGTAGTTAACATGGCCTCATCAGTTTGGTTTCTTATTCAGTTCAGTAACCGTATTCATCGTTTGCTTAAAGTGCTTGCTCATTTGTGCGCGTTGTTTTACGACCTTACTTATCCTTTGCCATTTTTATTTCTTTTCTTTCGTAAATAGCAATACTGCATTGAATATTTCTTCAATTTCCCATGGTAGTATCAGAAAGTCGATCGTTTTTAATTTAGCATTGTCAACGGAACTAAGAAACCTGGTTCTCCTTACTCGGATCTTTCGGATGATGCTCCTGTACTTGCACCGGAGGTAAATAACTCTTTCTCGCACATAAAAATTTATGTACAGTATTCGTATTTTCCCTCTTCTGTTTTCTAAAACTAGCAGGCTCATTTTTAAGAAAGAAGTCGTTTTGAGTGGACCCTGTTTCTGAGTAAATTTTTGCAGGTTGTCGATAAAAGTTCTGATCCACCCCCTGTAACTGTTAAATTATTGTCAAGCCCAGCAACCTCGGGTCTTCTTAGTCCTTTGAGGTAAGTTTTTTAGATTTCAGCAAATATCCAGGACGTGTAAGAACCTGTTTCCAGCTATTGAGCATTCTGATGTTACTGGAAGGTTGTTCAATGCAGTATTGCTTTGTTATGAATTATGAATGTGCTACTAAACTTTGTTTTTGGGTGTTCTCTATTGTGTTCTCCCTAGTCTCTTTTGTTTCATCATTTTGTTGCTATTATAAAGCATTTTAATCAGCCAGTATTTTTATTTCGCATTTTTTCTTATAGCTTGTCGGTAAGTGGCACTGGTGGTGGCGAAAAAGGTAACGATTCTCACGGGGCTCTTGGCGAGGTGCCATCAGTGGGACTGCTGTGCACTAATGTTTCATCTGTGACAACTTCGTCAGTTACGACTGCTACGTTATCGAATTCCTCGGTTGAGATTGCTACCAGTGTTCCGTTGTCATCGTCGACTGTTGAAAGTAAATACTTTTTTATTTAAGAGTAATTATTGTGAAGTTGGGGGGGGGGTGGTTTCGTATTGTCAATCATTTCTGAAACTGCCGATGGCGTTTATAGATTAGGTGTAATTCTGTCAGATGATTTTTGTGACGGCTTTCGCGCTTTGGCTTTTTTTTTTTTTTTTTTTTTTTTTTTTTTTTTT